GCCCACACAGGCACCTTCAGGAGGAGGCCCTGCTAGGGCCGTAACACTACCACAGAGTTTAATACTAGGATTTATAAACATGCCTAATAAAATATGGAATACAAATTAATCTTTTAACTGTTATGGAGAAAATGTTATAGGGTGCTGATCCTTATTTTCTCCCTTATATGTGTTAAAAATGATCAGGGTAGGTACGAAGTTGTATTTGATATAGTATGACAGAGGGGGGATCCTTAACAGGAACATTTCAGCTCGAAACATATATAACTATAATAATAATAATAACTATAATAAATATAACTGTATTATAAAAACATTATGCAAAAATATCTGTGGGCACCAATCAGATGAGAGTTGGCTTAAAGGGAAAGGAGCTAGAAAATCTCCTCATCTGATAGAACACAGGGCTGCTCAAAGGCCTATAAGGTTAAGAAAGGTCATTTTTTACCAGGGAGTCATGCAGAGATATTGTAGTAGATTCGAAGAAGGAAAATATGGAAATAGAATCAGAATCTTTAAGCATTTTTGTTACTCTCACACGGCACATTTGGTGACATTTTAGCTAAAAGAATAAAATGTCTGAAATCAAACTTGCTCTTTCATTGCTTTGTTTCCTTGTCTTTGCTCTGTCCTTCTTCCTCAGGTTCAGGCCACAGTGGTTGGTTTCCTGGCAGCAGTTGCAGCAGTAGGTCTTGGAGGTCTGACCAAGGGGAGAGTGGATGTTACCCAGGCTGCTGTCCTGTGTGCCAGCAGTGTCACCACTGCTTTCATTGCCGCACTGTCTCTAGGTCAGACAAAGGAGCTCGTTGCTCTGGAGGAAGAAACAATGTAGAAGACAACATGGAGAGATTCATCTCTGGTATCCTGTGTTCGGTTTCAGGGTTAGTGATGGTGGCAGTGATCATCGGCTCCAGGAAGGTGGGCATCAACCCAGATAACGTGGCCACGCCCATCGCTGCCAGCCTGGGAGACCTCACCACTCTGTCTTTGCTCGCTGGGGTCAGCAGTCTCTTCTTCCTTTACAGAGGTCAGAGGTCATATATAACATTATAAAAGCACCATTTCAGTACACAGTATGTCTCAATATTCTGAACGTTTAAAGAAGCAAGATCGCAGCTACAATCAGAGCATTTTTTGTGATATACAGCAGTCTTTAAAGCAGGTTAACTAAGTTATTACAGCCAGTTATTAGCAAAGTGTTAGGGTGTTTCAGCCAGGAGAGGGCAGCAGATCCCATCTCTTATTTTTATGCTTACAGCAGAAGTAGATGCCAGACATTCTGACAGTCTGCTCTTTCACCAATCCCTGCTTCCTCTCAAAAAAGACTCAAAGATAAAGAGAAGCAATCTTTTTTTTTTTATTACATGAAGAGTTTGTGGAATATTTTTGAAAGATTTATTCTCTACAATGTTACTCTGCAGACATATGGTACCTGCCCTCTGTGGTGTGTGGTTTCTTCCTGTTCCTCATCCCTGTGTGGGTCATTATTGCTAGCCGCGCTCCTCAAATCAGAGAGGTCCTAAAGTCAGGCTGGCAACCAGTCATTTTGGCCATGTCCATCAGCAGGTGAGGCGACCTGTCACAGATCACTGTATTACTTCCTCTTCAGTGTAGGAGTGCAATAGGTGCAACTCACATGTATCGTGTCTTTTCTTCTTCCCCAGTATTGGTGGTTTGATTCTGGATAAAACTGTGAGCAATCCAAACTTTGAGGGTATGGCAGTGTTTACTCCAGTCATCAACGGTGAGTAAAAGAAGAACCAGCCAGTGCAGATATGTGGAGAAAAAAAAAATTACATTTATCAGTTTGTTCTTAATTTCCCCTGCAGAGCATTCATGCAAACAGTTAATAAGTGAGGGATAATAAGGTTTGAAATGCACATTTTAAACCTTATTTTGCAGCATTTATTAACACTTTAAATGCAGAAGCAAATTATCCACTGGTGTTTTTGAAATTTTGAGAGAAAGCTTTAATTTTAATGGAGTGAGACAGAACACCGAACAAAAATCCAGAAACAAAATAAATAAAAGTTATGAATTGATTTGGATTTTATTGAGTGAAATAATTATTTAATACCCAAGCAAAATATGACTTAGTACTTGGTGGAAAAGCCCTTACTGGCAAGTACAGGGCATTGAGCCCACTGCTTTTGTGACCGGGTGCTTTATAAACTGGTAACCCGAAGCTTCAGTCCCCTTCTATACGACTGATTTCTCATTAACCTTAATGAGCTTCTGCTTTAGCCACTCTTTGTGTTGCCTTGGTGTTTTCATGGCCATTGTTGTGCAGAAAGACCCATCCAATGTTCTGGCTGAGAGAAGGAGGTTCTCATCTAATATTTTACAGTACATGACCCCTGGATTCCTGCTGAAAAGTCATCCTGTACACTTAGATGAAAAATAGCCCAAACAATAATGTTTCCACCTCCGTGCTTTACTGTGGGGATGCTGTTCGAGCTCGATTTCGACCACAGCACTTTCTCCCAAGCCTTCTTTTATTACTTTTATGTAATGTGTCTTTCCTGGATTTTTGGTTGATATTCTGTATTTCACCATAAAAATGCAAAACTGTTTGTTTCTTTGGAAGTGAGCAAACTTTTATATTCAGCAGAGGATCAAATAATTATTCCCCCACAGTGGGAGGTAAATGCAACAGCAGTAATGTTATTGTGTGTTTTGCATGCTGCCTAATTTTGTAAAACAGTGTAACTGACTCAGCCTGATTCTAAATCCTGCTCCATTAAGTAAAATAACCACACTCATAAACGCGTCTGCAGCAGTTCAGTGGCAACATCAACGTGCTCGTTTATCATGTTTCAAATCTCATTAGTGACGCATTATCCATCGAATGATTGTTGAGACATTTCAGGGATATCTGTTTGATTATCGTGAAACAATTAGTGACATATCTTCTATGTGTGTTAAAAAAAATAAAGCTGGCATGTTTTCTGAAGGAGGATGGAGAGCAGGAATGTAGGTTTATGGCATTTTCATCTGCCCTCAGCTTTGAAGAATAGTTCATTGTTAGCTTAATTGCTATCAATAAAAAAAAAAACATCAAGCCAACTGATGTCATGTGGAAATTGTTGAAGCCTGCAAGAGCCCAGCAGTTAATCCCATCATTTAAAAGTCCTGCTGTGTCCACACCCTGACAGCGAGGCGGTAAGCAAGCTGAGCCTTGCTTTTAAAGGGCTTCAAATCTGAGGGCTCACACAATCATGAGACATTAATGTGCTGCTGATTTCAAGGAGTCTCCTTCCTGTCAAAGTGGGCTAGATCTTTGCTTTGTGGCCAGGCTGCTGTCCACAAAGCGGCATACTAAGTAGAGAGGAATAACAATGGTCTTTACATAAACCACAAGCCTGATCAGAATGCCAACTATGCATTCACTGGCTCTCATTTCCGCAGCATCCCTGCCAACCTCAGTGCTACCAAACACTCCTGCATGTATTGCCATCCCAGTACAGGAAGTGCATTTGCATTCCAATTCAGAGCTCTCCTCTGCAGCCTTGCTGACCAGAAACACTCCTCCATTTTTTTGTTCAAATGAGCCATGTGCTCCAAAGCTCAGCAAATCCTGGAGGTTTTGTTTTTAATGACATCAGCCCGAGGGGTGAGCAGCATTGGGACTAATATGGCACAACAATGAGTATGCCTTTTCCAGACATTCACAGAAAAAAGCCCCCGGGAGACCCCGCTGTAGGAATAACTGCTGAATAGATTCCTAGCAAAATTAGTTGTTGGACGGTGAGTTATTTTTCCAAGATAACTCCGTTAACTCTCCAGTGCCTGCTCAGCCTCTCGTGTGACTCTTAGATGAAAAGGGAACAGTGGCTTAACAAGTGATGACTGTAATGCACTCTATGATATATGCATGTTTGCAAATACCACAGTAATACAGCCATATTAACACATAAATAAAACGCAACGCAAAGTCACTTTGAATGAGCAGTGCTTTCCTGTCATCAGCAACACCACCCTTTCTTTGGTGTTTTCAGTGGAATGCAGTTGTGCTTTTTGTCCTGTTATTGCTGTTTTTATTAAAACGTCAAACACGATCAGCTATGCTCAGGACTTGTTCATATCCACACAGGTGTAGGGGGAAATCTGGTGGCCATCCAGGCCAGCAGGATGTCTACTTACCTCCACTACTGGAGTGTTCCCGGAGCTCTTCCGTTCAACATGAGTGAGAAGTGTCCTGGACCCTGTGCTACCTTCTTCTCTTCAGGTTAGATACTGAACAAATACACTTGTAGTGGCAATTCCTTTGTTTGACAAATCAAACATCCCAAAATCAAAAGTCCACAAACCACTGCTGCACTGAGAGACTATTTTGTACGCAGGCAAAAGAAGTCCATTGTCCAAACTTGAAAGTTGCGTTTTGATGGTTTATTTATCCAGTTTGGCAAGCAATAACAAGATTCAATTTTTGTTACCTCCTGCTGCTTCTCCTGCTCTGGTAAAAAACCATAGGCCCACCCCAGTGCATGCTGGTCCTATACCAGTTGCTTTATTTATAGAAAACAAAATGGCCCTACAGCTCTACCTGACTAATTTAACAAATTAACATCAAACAAACTTTGAAACAAAATATTAACCAACAAATAACTTATAAATAAACCCCAAAATATAAGTAAACTAACAACAAACTTTAACTAATTTCAAAATAATAAAAAATAAGAACAAATAGCTCCAACAACACTATTTACACGTGAAGTGTATGCACTTTGCATAGGCAGCATATTTAATGTGGAACGTATGAGAGGGAACTAGACCTGCTCTCACTCACTGGACTCTGCTTTCAAGCTTTAGAAAATCTAGCTAGTGATGTGAGGCCAATCATCGCCCCCCCTTGAGCCTGGTTTGTCTCGACCTTTCTTCCTGTTAAAAGGGAATTTTCTGGAGTTGTTGTACTGGATTATTTTGTGCATTTTATTTTATTGCTGCCTGCTGCAGGTCTAGGGTCCTTCTCAGTGATATTCAATCTTTGACAGTTTGGAGTGTTGCCAATTTAGCTGCTTCCTGTCACTATCTGGAAGGAAAGTACATGTTTTGTGTAGTCATGGTTGAAATATAGTTTCAGTAGAAGTTGTGCCAGTGTTGAGGGCTTGAGGTACTGATTGTAAGAAAATAATATACCCGAGCACTATGTGGTACGTCAGACTCATAACCTCTTGTGCTCGGCCTTCTTTCTTATCCTACTGAATTAATTGAATTTCAAAAGTTGCATCAAAAGGTCTAGAATGCTGACAGGCAAAGTTGCAACCTTCTGACATGTAAATTCACAATGTAGCAAATGAGACTGAATTTAAATGTAATACTAGTCTGTGTACATGGGCAAGTTGGGTAGATATCTGTTAACAAACTTTTAGTAAGGAGTAGATCTAATGTCACTGTTAAAAAACCAAAACAACAAAGACGGATGCATTTAATTCCTTCTTTGCAATAATCTGATTATCATTTCTCCATTTGTAAGAGTTGGTCTGTGTCTGTACGTGGAAACAACCTCGACACCCAGTTCAGTTTTTGCCATTATTTTGTAACCAGTTTGGACCAGCCAGATGACGTCAGAGTTTCAGCCATGTTTGCTTGGTTCTGTCTCAGGATCTTAGCTGCTCCTAGTATGGTTCAAAAGTCAGTCGACTAACTATCAGCCAGAGAGACATGGGAACAGGCTTTTAATGTGCACCTATTGAACAGTCCTTATGACTTTCTTTCCATGTTGATTCAGATGTGAACTCCAAATCAGCCAGAGTCCTGGTCAGCCTTGTGGTCCCAGGTCACCTCCTCTTCCTGTACACCATCCACCTCCTGCAGGGAGGGCACACTGCCATGACACCAATGTTCATCATGTGCTTCCTGCTTGCAGCTCTGCTTCAGGTCAGAGATCCTCTTAAAGGTTTTCATTTTCAAAACAACTGTGTACTTTAAAAAGAAACAAAGAGTCTTCATCTTTGAAACACGTGCGACTGCTGTCACTGTGCAGGTGGGGATTTTGCTCTATGTGGCCAGCCTGATGGTGCGCTGGCTGTGGCGCAGGGGCCTGGATCCAGACAACTTCTCCATCCCCTACCTGACAGCTCTCGGTGACCTGCTGGGTACTGGCTTCTTGGCTCTGAGCTTCAGGCTGATTGTGATGATCAGCTCTACTCAGACTGGACTTTGATACAAAAACATTGTCCTGCACATCCTGAATGCACTGCTCCCTGTGTGCAAAACGCCAAAACAAACTGAAAAGAAGGAACGAGAGGACAGAAGGTGTTATTTCTACACTCATTATCATGAAAAGAAGAATTGCATTTTAGCTAAGGAAAACATATTTAGTACGAGGGCACAGTTTCACTCATTAGATTTCTGATTCTCTCCTCATAATTCGTTAAACTTTAAGATCTGCTCTACATTTCTGTTGACTATGCAACAGCACAGCTGTTACCTCTTTTGCACGAACACAGTCTTTAGGCTGCATCTACCAATCAGTGGTGAATTTCATGTTGTAGTCTAGCCTGTAACCACCAATTCAGTGGTTTCATCTTTGGGCACAGCAATTTGGTAGTACCAGCCTTCTGGCACCAATCAAAGTCTGTTTTAGCTCTAGATTGGAGACTTGCATTGGGACCACACTGGTACAAAAGGGATATTTGTGTTCAGACAGACTGTCAACCCTTACAGTTACACACAAAGCAATCTGTAGGCAGTATTTGTCCAGCTGCCATTGAATTGTCTTTGTGAAGTTTCTGATGAGGTCAGACGGAGCCTGAGTGGTCTGTAACAGACAGCTGGTACATTAGCATGTAGGGGAGAATAAACACACCAGCCACACTGTCAGATCTGTGTAAATTACAGCCGGCCCAAAGCTGGAGCAGGTAATGTCTGGTGTACTGTTTTGGTCTCTAGTCCACCTGTTAGTAGGATTACTGGTTACTAGTTTAACTCTAATGGCGTATTCCAACCTATCTCATAAATAATTCACCAGAAACTCAAAGCTGAAGTATATTAGTGCTTAAACGTAGTCACCGGTTTGTTACACTGTGATAAAGACAGCTTGGAGGACTTGTTTGTTAGATAGTATTTTGCAAGAAAGAACACAATGCTAGCTTATTAAAATATAACTGTTTAATATGATCAAGAAACAGCAGAGTGAGGAGACATCCAAGGGACTGAAATATTTGCTAAAGAACAACTGAGGAATGAATAAGGAAGAAGCTGAGCACTAATGAGCGGAGCACGTCCCTAATACATCCTGATGATTATTTACCAAAGTAATCAGCTGGGAGATGTTACATTAGTGAAACAATAGCTAGTAAATAGCCTGTAAATGAAACTAATTCCCTGCTTTGTTTGCCATTGTTTCCTACTGTGATCTTACACATTTTTGTATTCCCCCTAATGAAGTACAGAGCTTCACCTTCAGCTTGAAGTAGTGATGTGCGGATCGATCCTGAAATATCGATTCCTCCGATACCAGTCATTTATGTTTTAGAATCGATTCTC